CAAGTGTCGATTGCGTAATTTAATCTTGAGTCATTTTAATCTTGAGTCCTGATTCTTGCCAATAGATTCAGCGCAACGCATTGATTGCGAAATGATATTGTTTAATAAAGAAATCTTTGCGTAATCGCGACGTTCTTTCAATGTTTGAATGCGGATCAACAAGCAACGTGCTTCATGTGACGGGAGAGGAAAAGCCGTCCAACCTAACATAAGTAGCGCATATAATCAAAATTGCTTTTGGATTGACTCTATTCGTTCTTCATACTTTTTCATCTAAGGTTACCAAACAACGCTACAATATCAATCTAATATCGACCTGCTATATGTATTATTGTGTTATAATAGTCCACAAATGTCAGTTTAGAATCTATAAAAACACCTAAATCTCTTATATATCCACATTTTTGAACATGTTCATTACCTAATGAAATACGAAGATTTTGTTTGTTTAGTTTGCTTAATTTTTTTTTAAATTTTGATTCAATAAACTGTTACTACACCATCTGTAGAAAATAAAACATGTATTTCATTCTGAAACACATTCGTATCGTTATCGCTTCCTATTTCTTAAAATAGCTTCATGTCTCAGCTTATATAAGAAGGGAAGAGAACTTCTTCGGCCTAAGCGCCCATTCTGGGCCTATCAAGCAGAAAACATCAAATAAATCCATGATTTCTGCGTTAACAGGTAAATTATGCTTTTGGTACAATACTTTAGTTCAAATGCTACCGAACGAAGTCAATAAGAACGCGTGATATGAATGTTTGAACCCAATATTCTCAAAAACAAATGAACCGCTCCGACCGAATCAATTTCTAACTTCAGCCGATAGGCCGAAGTGAATTCATTGGCGTTTCAATGCGTTAGGCCGAGTTTAGAATCCGTAGGCCGAGTTTGGCGTCAAGAAGGAGTGTTAGGCTTTTAACAATATCTCAACAATTTGTTTCCCTTTTTTAAATATTACGGTACGTACGGAAAGGTAAATAAATTTAGAAACCATCAGTAATAATAACATTCCGGTTGGTGCTAAATTACGCAAGATTGAGAAAGACTAAGTGCGGGTTGTGCTTAATAGGCCGGAAATGGGGTAGTTAACCCTACTCTTTGCCCCGTAACGTGGGTAGATCACCTTTTCGTGGTACGTTACGGGATGAAAGATCTACCACCGATTCCTAGTCCCGACTACTTCAAACTAGGGGAACAGGATTTTTCAGTAATCCAAGGAACACATCTTAGTCCTTGTTACTTTTTATGCCTTGTTGATAGTGACAAGACTCGGCTTTGTCTACCGAGGATGATCTTGAAACAAGGCAAAAAAATGAGTTAGTTGTCTTCATCTATGTGATTCCTAATCTTCTCTTCGTTGTTCCCTAGTTTGAAGTGGTTAAGACTAGGGTTCTGATGCATGGTCATTATCGGTGTCATACCTTAATTTTGTTGCTAAGGAATCCGATTTTGACTGACAAAGGGGCGCGCCTTTGGAGGGTGTTTCAACACTCCGAAGGGTATAAATAGCGGGACCTTTCAATTAGACTCGGATCCTTGCGATAAATGCAAGAGTGGCAACTGTAAAAAAAATCGAATGCTTCATCATTTCTCAATAGTGATGGAGTAATACGACATGCACTAAACTAAGGACACGGGATGTACTGCAATAGATCAATTTACTGGTCGCAGTAGTGTTAGGTCCCGAACAGAGGAAAAAAAAATAACCCTACTCTGATATTTTTTTTTTGAAAATAAGAGAGATGTCATTAATGTACAAAATAAAAAGAAGGGGACCTAGGTGCGAGCCCTGCGGAACCCCTGACATGACTGGAATTGGCTTAGATGTTTTCTTGTTGAATCTTACAATTTGCTGGCGATCAACTAAAGCATGAGCATGATTGACCGCCCACGTTTGTTACTCTGTTATTGCCAGATCAGCTGTAATTACACAGAGAACCAATAGGCAATGCTTGGGACTAGCAATCATCCTCAATGTGTAAAAACTGGTGATCTCAAACTAGCCAATACCAGCGTCGGCCGCGCCCGATCACAGGCCAAGAAAGGAATGGATAAGAATATGTAGACGTGACAATCGCTTTGATGGAAGCCGACAACACATCTGCACTTCCACGAGGAATCACTGGGATGTTGGATAAGAGAGTTGGGTTTGCAGCAGGGTTCATTTTGGTAAACGATAAGCTGAATTGCCTCAGAACATCCCGGCGGCGCCGACTGGGATTGAACCCAGGCCTGCTGGGGTGAGAAATAATCACGCTTACCACTACACCACCGGCGCCGCTAAATCTTGAATATTGATGGGTTTGAAATTAGACTCACGATGTTCTGCTCAGTAAGCAAAAACGGTCACTCTAAGGCCACCGAGTCCTTCATATCACATCATACCGCTATTCGAGTTGTTGTAACCATTCAAACCCAGCTCCGACGACGACGACAAGTTTCGCGAAATGCACGATAAACAAGCGATTAAACCATAAATCTCTTTAATATGAATATTCCTAGGACGGTGCTTTCTGCTCAGTAAGCAAGCGACGATGTTTCAAATCCGAAAACTAAAAGGTACGAAAAAGTACCTAGGCCTTCATTAAGTTCTACTTTCACACAACGTTATTTTTGATTATTCATAATATAAAAATACATAACTGGAGCGGTAACTACCTGAGTCTTGCCACTACTATCAAGGCACAACAAAATAACGAGGTCCAAAATGCGTTCCTTTGCTTACTGAAAACTCCTGTCCAGAAGATACGAATGTTATCGGTGGGTTGGTTATTTTCATACAAAGTATTTGTTTTACTGATAGTCTTTTTATTTTGATTTGTTCACTTTTACATGTGATATTTAATACAAAATTTTTGAGTTTCATTGATTTTGTTATGTTGTTGACGAATTCAGTAATGCCTTATTAGTTAACATGGTAGGTTCTAAAGCAATTTCGTTTCTTATTGAAACAAAGTCTCATGTTACACTTTGTGCAAGTTATATACGGTTGACCTTTTCTGCAGAATTTGCAGCGACCCCGAGAGATATACTTTGGAAGATGTCCAAGACGACTATCGTCGGAAGGCCTCGGAGCAATTGGAGTTCGAATTCTGTCGATGTTCTTGTTGACAGTTGCTTTGTTCGCCGAAAGAAGACTCTATGCAACTTCCGTCCTGAATTGCTTCAAGACCATTTTCAACGGGGCTTTATGAAGCAACAAATGGCCAGGCATTGTTGATGCATATATCAAGCATTTGAGAGAATATCAGCCAAATCCACTCCTCCCATGTGTTGATTATAGTCCTGGAATATGTACTGATTGGATCTGCTGTAATATAATTGGAGGCCATCGGAACATCCTTATTGTCTGTCCACTGTAAAGCTATGTCCATTCTATCGTCGGAAGGCCTCGGAGCAATCCGGAATAATAAAATCATCTGTATCTCGGTAACGGATTGACGTACAAATAAGGTTAATACATCAAAGGTAATTCATTGTAATTTTTGGAAAAAATATCAATACAAATCATTTCTCTTCGTGTTTAATGAAAATTGTCTTTATTCCTCCCTTAAAACGCTGCACACCTCCGAAGTCAACTTCCTTGGCACATTTGTTCCACATTTAAGTCATCTGAATCGCGTCCCGAGCCGTTTCTCCACTTTTCTTAAGCTTCCGCTTCATTATTGCCCAAAATCTCTCGATGGGTCGGAACTGCGGGCAGTTGGGTGGATTTATGTTTGTATCGATGAAATCTACGTTATTCCTGCTCGCAAACAAATTCTTTGAACGGTACTGCGAGCAGCAGCGTATTTTGGTGCGATTTCATTATCTGATAGTCCAGGGTTTGCTCTGACGGTTCTCAACACCTTCTGGTTCAGCTTGCGGTCATATGTTCCACTACGACGCTTACCTTGAGGCACTCGATCCACGCTTTTTCGCTCCCTGAAACGTTTGAGCACATCATACACGGTTGATTTTGCGATTTTCAACGTTTTTGCGATTTTTATTGCGGACCACGTTGGATTATCAATGTGGGTGTGCAGATTTTTTTCTCCCCTCTCGGCTTCCATCTGGAATAATTTTTGACTCACTGTACGAAACACCGTGACATTTATACCACAGAAAGTGGGCGCCTAGGTAAACAAACCGCCGTAAAATAATTCTTGTAGCGGTCACTTTTCGCATTTCTGGACAATTGTATACGCAAACCAAAAATGTATTACAATGAATGTTAATTCCACTTCCTATCATCCTCTATTCATGAACATCGCAGTGAATGTTAGAAGTTGACCTTACAGGCGATGTAATGGTTTTTTGTCTTTTTTTATTTCGTGTTCTATCTACGCTTTCGACTATACCAGTAAATTTTTTATTTATAACATTGTAGAACGACGCACACACTTGCCTTGAATCTCTCTAGCAGAAAAAGCAGACAAAGTCAAGTATGAGAGGAAATGAGCGCTTCCTGTTTACTTTTAGGCTATCCATAATAATAAACATGGAGAGAGCAGTGAAGGAAGCACAGGTCTGATAATCGCAACGTTCGTGGTTCGAGTCCAGTCGGCAACCCTTTTCCAATTGTTTTCGACATAATTAATTTCATTCACTAATGCATTCCTTGTTTTTCGGTCTCCAATTTTCTTGCATTGAACCGCAGCTAAGTGAGCTAGGTCTATCGCATCCTCGGTTCATGTGGTCTCCACTAACATCCTCCACATAATTATAATGAGAGAGAGAAGGATTAGTATTTTCCATTTAATTCCACTACTTTATTTGATTATCCTTGACAGATACGCGTATTTCTTCTACAATGTGCAGACTTTTTCAGTGTCTTGTACTAATACCGAAAGACGTAAATCTACGTAAAAAAAAATTAGATATGTGTTTTTAAACTATTCAATTAGTTATCAATAGTTATCTCACTAATCACCGTCCGTTTTATTTCTAACGGCTTCTTCATAACTTGGATCACACAAAGCTTTCCTTTGAATTGTTGATTGTTTATTTGGATCATGATTTGCCATGAATCCCCATCCGTCACTAATAATTACTATTATTATTGTTCCTTTGTATTTATTCGAGTTTGCTTCGTTTTGGTCTACTGCTTATACTTAGAGCTTCTAGTGTAAACTGTTATTATCGTGTAGTAGCGCACTTAATCGAAGAATATGCTTACAAATATCCTACAATCTAAATACAATGCAATTTGAATACATTTCCAGCGACATTCTTTGTTTGTTGCGTGTAAAAGTTAGTCATAGCGCGCGTTACGTTATTCGCATGATGTATGATGATGATTTTCTTTTTACAGAACTCCTACACTAATCGTTTCGTCCAGCTGCTATTTCCGATTGCAATTATAAGCTGTACGATTGAAATATTAACCTGCAAATACTGTGTGAGTGATTGAAGATGCATTTGGTTGATCCTTTCGGTTTCAACTACGCGAACTGTTGATGATACTGGATGAAATTTGTTCTACTTTCTGCTTTTGGTAGTGAAGGTTAAAATTTTCCTACGATCCAAAGAGTAAAGGTTGAAAAATTGCGATAGCTACTCGAGGGGAAGAGAATATATACTGATAGAGTTTCGTTTTCCGACTAGTAAATGGACAGTGTGGTGTTTTGTTACAGCTTTTAAATATTGAACGATTCGGCGTTCCATAAAAAACATAGTTATGATTATGCTTTTAGTCTGTCGTCACATCTTAACGTCACCTCGGTGGGACTTTTTGTTATTGATCGCTTGCTATGGATTATAAGCGCTTAATGCAGTTGCAGATTTCTGGTTAATCAGTTCGACAGTGTACACTTCTAAAACACCTAAAAATCCCAAAGGACTAATGACTGTTTAAAACGGTTCCAAAACACGTCCGGAGTTTAATCTGACTTTTTTTTTGTTCTACAACAGCTACGCCTCAAAAAGTTACGCATACAAAATTGTAAACAACTGTTTCGACTTGTCCTAGTTTCGCATATATGCTAAATTTTCAGTCAATTATCCTAGCTTTTCGGCTGCGCATTTTGTTGGGTCATTCTTAACCTAGGTAGAGTACATTGAATAAATAGTACAATATTTACACAAAAGAATGTTGAACATAAACAACAAAAGGGATGTAAGTAACGGAAGAAGGCTGATTTATAATGTTAGTGTTAGTTGGCGAGTTCGTACCCAACAGAAAAAAATCAGTTGAGGTTTGATAATGTTACTGGAAAAATCTACAAAATTAGCTAAATTTTCAACCAACCATGTTTTGCTGGGTTCTACTAAAAATGAGTTTATCCCACTAATTAAAGCTTCAAATTTTGATGATAGAAAACGAATAAAATGAATTAACGCACTGAATCACATTTCAGAAATATACAGACAAGCGCTAAAGAAAGAAAAATGTACATTGAAAACAAATATTTACATAAAAACTTCAAAGACTATCAATTTTCACATGTTTGGATAAACTTCTGCTTCCAATTCGATTTTTTTTTTCTCCACGGGATTGAAAATCCTGTAATCCTTTAATCCAACTAGCTTTTTCGCTTACAAACTACTAAACTCATATTGGCAGTAAGGCTGTAAATGCGTTCAAATCTTCTCCAACCTGACGAAAAAATAATATTGAAAGCCTACAGTAAAAGTTTGTTGGTGTAAAAAAAAAATTCTTTCCAAGAGAAAGACAACGAAGGAAAAAAAGTATCTTAGGTATCCTTAGATCAACGGTTGTTGTTGATGTTAGTGTCGTTAAATCATATTCACCACGCTTGCTGTGATGCCGTCCTAGCAGACCGTTTCCATGGGTACTCGGTTCTGGGAGTTGGTCGTGGTCGTCGTATTGTTGGTGCAGGTGTTATTCGTAATGGACTCTCCCATCGAGGGCAGCCCGTGGGACGAACTCGAGTGCTGCGGGCCGTGGGTGGTGTTGGTGAACGAGCGGCCTGTTTTCGAGTTCCACAGGCGTTTTATCGCGGACCAGACCTGGATGAAGGCGGGGGGAAAAAAAGGAGAGATTTTGTAATAAATATCAATTTGGATGCAACTTTGCTGCAGCACCAGCTCCTGGCAAGCTGTCAGAGAGCGATATGTGCCCGCGCTTGGTTATGCATTATTTAATAAAAATGGTCTTTTCATGTGAGCAGAAATTAGAATAATTAAAATGAATGGGCGTCGGTTAAGGGTTAGGTGGCCCATCACCGAGGTTTAATGGTAGATATGCAAAGATTTCGTGGGAATTTAAGATTTATCGTAGTGCAGCATGATAGTATTCGGGCAAATTTTCTTATGCCCATTTTTTAAACCTTAAGTTCGATAAAATTTCAAAATCTACAGCACAAAAAATAATCAGAAGTTCCAATATTTAAGTCGAAATGGTCAATAAAAGGATGTGCAGGCACCATAAATAAGTAAAATTTCTACAGTAAATAAAAAATCTCTACAAGGGAGATAATCAATAAAACAGATAAAATGTTCAATAATAAAATAGTTAAATATTTCTTAAAAATTACTGATATGTTCCTAAAAAAAATTAAATGCGTAAATAAAAAATATGAATTGTCAATAGAATTCGTTGACATTTTGGAAAATTTAATCGCGTTTACTTATGGTATCATGACAATTTGTATGGACCATTCCCACTTAAATATTGGTACAATACGCATTTTAACAGGTTTTTTTTTCTCCAGAAATGAAACATCCCAGAAGTCGTATAACAAAGTACAGACAATATCATAAATTGCTACAATGTTAGCAAAGAAAAGAAGTGGATCTCGTGTTGAAAACCAGTTCTTTCTACCTTCACGAACAGTAGCGACGCCTGGTGGTAGCGGGCAAGTTTTTTTATACGGAAAATTTGTATAATGTTTGTTAGTTTTAGACAAACCAACTCGTATATTTATGCATCACTTACTTTTAAACATAGTTGCCAGAACTTATTTTCGAATATCGATATCATCACTACAGCAAATCTACAATATCGATCAGTGAAATATTCAATATTATTGGGAAATACTTTCCATATTCAAATTCAGCAGATGATGTCCTGCTAGTGCACACTGGGCCAGGAATTCAATCTAGTGGAGCAAAATTAATAACTCCGAATCGGAGACGAGCCAGCCAACGGCTAAAAGTCTCCTTAATAAAGATATATATAAAAAAAAAAAAAAAAAAAAATAACTCCGAAACGAAGCATTTCCGCGACTTGGTGTCTTCGGTAAAGTTTCTCATCATAATAAGGACCATCTATTGACATAAGGGGGAGGGAGGACACCTCTCACCATCCCTCTCCAAAGGGGGAGTTTGGTAAAGAGAGATGAAAAAACCGATTTGTATCTTCCTTAAAAGTTGTCCTAGCTCGCTATCTACTATCTATATGCAATTTTCACACTGCCGTACTCTAAAGGGCCACCCACGCTAGATCCGTTTGCGTTGCGTTGACGTAAATTTGACAGTTAGACAATAGATTTAGCTGTCACTTTGCCGCAACGCGTCCGATCCGGATCTAATGTGCGTGGGCCTTAACGGAACTATCAACTCTATACTTTCATCTCCTCCATCTATCGTATAAAAATTACCTCTTTAGTCTGTTATTTGTAATAAGCATCTTCAACTATGTATTTTTTGTCTAACCAAAAGATGCCTCTCAATGCGTTCTACAACTCTCTGTTTGACACCAATTTTCTATCTTGTTTAGTTTTGTCGCAATTTTGTACTAAACACATCATGTTGGGTCGTTAATTAACGGTTGCGTAAAACACGAATTCAACCCCACCGTGCGTTGCTGTTGACGTCTGTTTGCAACGCGCATAGCACACTTGATTGCCACGCGGAGTGACGGTATGAAAAGTGTGACAAGAAAAACAATGCTGCAGACGGTTCAATTGAACGCATGATGAAAATTGAAAATGTTCTGTTTATTTTTTCGGTACCAATGCACAGTGGTCCAGAATGCCGATTTAGGTGGAATGATATGTTTTGAGCCTGAAAGTGAAACTTTAGACTACAAGTCTCATCTACAAAGTTGTTCCTTATAGTTACGCCCTCATTTTTATGACAATGAATTCTAGGGTGGTTCCTATCATCATTAAAATAAAAATTCTAACTTTTTTGCTTGAATAAATTAAGGTATACATTCTTCGGCAAAGTTATAGCTGAACTAATTTCAAGCAACTACGCCCTTTCAAATGCCGTAAAAAAGTTTTTTTTTGTTTGCCCCAACCAGAGATATTAACATTTGAAAAGTGCATATTTTTAGTATAAAAACGTCAATAACTCTTGATCGGCGAAAGATATTGCCAAACTTTGTGCAGCAAAAATTTGCGCCTTCTTAAGATCTAAAAGGTATCTGAAGACACCTTTGCTGAGAAATTCTAAATAAGAAAACTAGAGCAAAAAAACTGTTTTTTTAAGAGCCACCCTAACTCAATTCAAGAAAATAGCTCTAAATCGGCCAATTTAAGAGATACAAAAAAGTTGTTTTCAACAAAGTTGCTTGAAATTAGTTCAGCTATAACTTTGTTCAAGAATGTATACCTTAAATTATTCAAACAAAAAAGTTAGATTTTTGATTTTAATGGTAATAGGAACCACCCTAGAATTCATTGTCATAAAAATGAGGGCCTAACTATAAGGAACAACTTTGTAGAAGAGACTTTTAGTCTTAAGTTTCAATTTCAGGCTCAAAACATATCATTCCACCTAAATCTGCATTCTGGACCACTGTGCAATGTAGATCAGTTCATTGAACTGATTGGGTATTTTCCAATGATTAATCAAATTGAAACACTGATCTTCGTTTGTTTCATAAATTTATTTCAATGGTTGCTCTATGTGTCCTCCATTTTCTTGGATGCAGTACCTGAACCTCCTTCCAGTCTCTTTCACAAGGTTAATATTATTCATCTTCGCTTGTATGTTTCGAGCAGCAAGAAAAATTTAGTCAACTAGCTTTTTGCGCGTGTTGATTGTCAAATACCCAGTTCAATGAACTGATCTACATTGGTATCAAGAAAAAAGGCTTCTGATGTTTTTTTTGCTTCTAGAATATGCATATTTCCCACAAATTTTATAAATTCTGAACTGAAAAAATATAATACTTCAAGAAATGTATATGGATATGGAGTCAAATTTCAGTTTTAAGGGTTCATGGAATTTTATTATAATTTCTAAGGACCTCATTCCACAGGAGTTCTGGGAAAAAAATCTATGAGAAAAACATCTGCAATCTGCTTTCATGGTAGTTCTGAGAAATTTTAGACTTTATGTGAAGCCTAAGCCTAAGATAGTAAACTCCAAGCAAATGGTCATGAGAAATCTCCGTTGAATATGGAATGAACTATTCTGAGGTCTTCAGAAGTTCTTGGAAGTTCCCTAAATATTCCTGAAGTTTGAGAAACTAGCCTGATGCTCGCAATACTTCTCATCATTTTTTTAACTTCTCTAAATTTTTTCGAACTTCCTAAAGTTTCCACAATTTTCCTAACGGTCATGAAATTTCTCTAAAGTGTTAAAAATTCGCTGAATTTCTCGAAACTTTATAAAAATTTATGTAATTTCCCTGCTCTGGAAGATATCTGCTCTGAGGATATTTGTTCTTTCTTGATTTTTTTAGAACTTTATTAGCGAGATCAATATTTTTCTCGAAGTTCTCGAAACTTCTCTTAAGTGTTTGCAATTCTTATGAAGCTTGTTGTACTACCATGAATTTAACTGAACTGTTCTAAAAATGTTGAAGCTTACGTGAACTTCTGGACTTGTGTGAAAACTTCAATAGTTTTCTTAACTTCTCTAAAGTTCTCTGAAAATCTGGGAACTTCTTGAAAATTTTGATAATTTAGTGAAACGAATGGAACTGAACTCCCCTGAAATTCCCTTTGTTTTTGGAGCTTTACTAAATTTATTTGAGATGCTCTCGAAATGTCCATTAAAGTTCCTGAAGTTCTTGGATCTTCCCTTAAGTTCAATAGACTTTTATGAAGTTCAAATTATTGAAACTAATTCATAAGTTCTTCAATAGTGTAGAGTTTCTTGATGTTTTTAAAACTGCCCAAAATATTTCTCAATTTCCTTAACATCCTCTAGACTGCCCTTAATATCTTAGTATTTTTTATAAAAGAACTCACTTTTTTACTGAAATTGATTTAATTGCCTTTGAGTTTTACAATTTTCTATGCTTACCTTAATGTCTCTAAATTAATCAAATGTTCCGATAAATTTTCTGATATATATTTATATATATATATTTTTTAATTATAGTCACAGGGTGAGATTTGAACTCGTGACTTTGGCGTGAGAGGTATGGATGTTAACCACTACGCCGGGGTCGCCCCCTATACATTTATAATTCCCTGAAGCTTCTAAAGTTTTCGGATCAATCATAGAATTCTCGGAATATCCCATAGTTCTAAGGAACTCCTTGTAAGTCGCTGAAATTTTCCTAAGGTTAATGTGATTTTTCTGATGTTATCTGATCGTCCTCGAAGTACTAGGAACTTCACTGAATATAATGAAACAATCTAAAAATATCTAAATTTCTTAGAAGTACTCGCCTTTTTTTTAATTAATGGAACTTCGTTGATGTTCTCTAATGAACTTAGCTAAATTTTCGAATTTGTTTAGATCTTGAAATTTTCATGACATAACACCCTTGAAATACTCTCACTGTTTTGTATTCGGCCGTGAACACAACGACGATATAGGCGGAACGATGGACTGGGAGAAACGGACAGCACAAGCTTCACCACCGGGTACCAACACCAGGGTAGGGTTGGCAGGGATAATCCAAACAATTTACGTACTGCTGCTATTAACTAGTTATTTTTTATTCTATTATTTAATTCTTTGTTTTTCACTGGTTGACTTCCAATTTTATTCTGAACATCCTCCGTTTAGGGTTCTACCGAGTATGGCTTACTTCGAGAACATTCGAAACAAGCCGGTTACTAACGACGTTGTTACTGTTGCTAACCTAACAACGTTGGTTG